AATATGTATATATATCCAACCTTTCTTGACCGGGTAGAGCGCTCGTGCTGATAACGCGTTATGAAATACGGGGAATATAAAGAACACAATGTATAAAAACTGGATACAAATTACAAGAAGTTTTACTTGCTTTCTTTCTCCTTATTTTCGTATATTCATTACAATGACTCCTTGCCTATTTATAGACAAATTTGGGGCACACACTTCAAGAATTTGATAACATAATTAATAGTGGTTATTCCACTTTTACACAATAATTCAGTCATTTTTGGAAGAGAACTCCGAGAAGAATTTGAGTCATTTTTTTTTTTTTTTAATTAAAACACTTTTTTAAAAAAAAAAACTTAAATCCTGTTTTCCTTATGTAATTTTTTTTTTCGAGATACACATATTGGTTGGATTCAGGATTCGAATGGCATTTGTCAGGCAGTTTTTACTACGTGTATCAAGGGCTCATTTTCTCCTCTATTAGCGGAAGCTTTGGCTATTCGATATGGTTTACGATGTGCCCGAGATTCTGAATTCAAGCTTCAAGCGGTTTTGGATATAAAAATTTTTGGTTTTGTTTGAATTTTTTGTTTGGTTTGGTTAGTTTTGAAAAAGTTGGTATGGTTAATTGTTAGTGGATATATTAAAATAATATTTAAAATAAAATGATTAAAGTTGATTTGGTGGAAAGTAGAAAAGAGAAGATTTGAAGTGATGGTTAGTTAAAATTATGTGAGTGGATGAATAGTGAATTAAGGTGATGTTGTGTGTAAGATTGATTGATTGATATTATTTAATTATATTGATAATATTGATGATAGTGGGGTTGAGTTAAAGTTGAATTAAAAAAAATGGTTGAGTTACCCAAGAGCGCTTGGATGAGATGGTTTGGGTCTCTTCTAGCTTAACCAATGGTCTCGTGTTCGAACCCTGAGAATGCAGCAGCGTTAAAACTCTTGAGGGAGAGCTTTGCCGCCCTTGTGGTCCTACCCGGGTCGATTCCGGATTAGTCGGTTCCCCTGTGGATCCGGAAATCGGAAGGTCCCTGTACCAAAAAAAAAAATGGTTGAGTTAAAAATGTTTGGATTTTTTTGAGAAATTTTTGTATCCAATCATGCTCTTAGGTGTCGTAGGAGGGCTCATTCAGATGGAAGATTGTGACCCCTCTTTTAAGTATTCTCTGATATACTGATACTTCTGTCTAACCTGGAGTGCAGTACTTGTGGACATATTCCTCGAAGGAAGAATCAAGCTGCCCATAAATTGGCGAATTGGGCGACAATGTCTCAATCTTCTTGCTTTTGGAATTTTTTTTTAACCGTATGCATCAAAAGGTGCGTGTACGGTTCCTAAGGGATAGAAACCCCACTCCACCGCCCGGTAAATGACAAGAAGGGCCCCTACGGGTTAGGTTTCAAACCCACCAACGACTTCACTGAACAAGCAAGGGATTGACCAACTAGCGGATTCCCTTCCCATTATTTTCTCCTCTTTCTTTAAGGATGTATTAAACTCTTAGTTGCTTCGATGCAATATTTATTTATCAAAAAAAAAAAAAAGGAGATAACGTGGATAATTTTTGGAGTACTTGCGGACATATTCCCCGAAAGAAGAATCAAGCTACTCATAAATTGGAGTGACAATGTCTCAATCTTCTTGCTTTTGGAAGAATTCCCTTCCCATTATTTTCTCCTCTTTCTTTAGAAATGTATTAAATTCTTAGTTGCTTCAATTCAATATTTATTTATCGAAAAAAGGGGAAGATAACGTGGATAATTTTTGGAAAATTCGGAGCGAATAACAATTGAATTATAATTTTTATTTGTGGTCAATAAAAATATATCTCCTCAATTCAATAATTAATCCAATTTAAAATATACCGGAAGAGAAAATAATTACATCAAATAAAATATGATTAACTTTCAACTTACATTAGAAAATTTGTTTTCGCAACTGATACTAAGAACAAAAATCAGTCATTATTAAAAAAAAAAAAGGATGTGAGCAAAATAAAGAGTGTGAAAGATTATCCACAAAAAAAGATGACACTATCAATTACTATTTCAAAGATGATAAGAAAACTATTGAGACTCAATTACTCAAACAAAACATATGTTGAGTATTCAACATATGTTTCCCTTCCTCGTCAGATCGTGATCTAACGATGCAAAAGCATCGTTTCGCTTCCTGTACCAAAAAAAAAAAAAAAATATGTTGAGTATTCAACAATTTCTTTCTTTTTTTTTTTAAAATAAAATAATTAAATTGCGAAAGACTAATTTCACGATTTAGTTAAAAAAAATTTATAACTTTTTGCAATTAGTTAATATATATTTTTGGCCCAACTTTTACATTTTTTTTTATTTTTTTATTTTTGCATGCAGTACTCGATTTTCTAATTATGTTGGACAAATAAGCCTCCAACTTACAAGTTGCTAAACTATAATTCTACTAAACTGTATAGTTGGTCAAACTGGTAGCCCTCTTCCAAACATGTAAACTGGTATTTAGATGGTGGATGGATTTAACAATACCCCTCCAACTCCACAAGGGTGTTTCTATGGGGCACAACTGGATCATAAATTTTATAGAATTCCTCAATGGACCATTCCTTGTTACTCGATATGGGTGTGATCCATCCGATTTCCCCGGTAGCGATAACAACGTAGAAAACTTTGCAAGGCTCGTTTCTGGACGATACTTTAAACACCAACACCTCCATCTGCTGCAACCAACCGACCGGTTGAATGGTAAACCTATATTTATCATCTACAATTTCCTGCAATTGATTTCCCAATACAATCGGACGTTCCCATTCCCTCCAGTAATAATAATCCCCCGACATGACCATTTCCCAAACTCGAAACACGCCATCCTCAACTCGAACCACTACAGTGAGGGCTTTCCCAGTTGACAGGTACCACTTCATGTACTTGGTCGGGTGGTATTGCACAGGGACCCGGGCCGACGTCTCGATCATAACCTCCGTCTCCACATTCAGCGTCAGGATAGTGTCCTGGAAAATCGAATGAATAAAACCCTCCGTGACCACCAGTTGGCCGAGAGTAGACCCATTCAAATGGTTGGTTGCAAGATGCCTCCACCAACTATCGACACCCACGGTCAATATGGCCCACCGAGCGTCCCTTCCACCATCGGTCTGTACCAATGCCACCTTGTACGCCTTTGAGGCCTCAGCGTACCCCACGCGATAAAACGTTGACTTTGCATTTTTGGGGAATGGAGGGAGTTGCAAGGCTCGTCCAGTCACAGGGTTGGCCAAGTGGACGTTGGACGAGGGATCCCAAAAATTGTACTCGGGGATGAGGCCGTTGCAGCTACTCTCGAACATGATTCTGGATTTGCAAGCGTAGTTGTAGTCGGATACCGTGACACGTCCCTGTTTCATGGACACGAAAACCATGCGTTGGGAGGAATATTGATCAATATCGATAAACTCACGTGTCGGTGCATAAATGATTCGGAACAAGAGGCCGTATTCGTCGGTTTGCCGGAGGTGGAGGTTTACGAATTCCTCGGATCGGATCGTGTGGTAGTACAGAGTCCGGCAGACACGACTTGCTCTGTAATAAATGTCTTGAGCAGAGAGGTTCAAGAGAATCTTGAAAAGAAGATCATTGGGAAGGGAAAGAAGATTGTCGGCTTGGTTGTCACCGTCTGCTGCTTCAACTTCGACCGAGCGAGGGCGGTGACGTGGTGCAGACGACTGCATCCGGCGGAAGATTGATGATGGAAATTTCGCCATTGTTGGTTTTGTTGTGCAAATATAATCTTCTTGGCTGACGAATACTCAGATGTCTAATAAATATGATTACCAAATTTGCTCAACACGGATACAGCACTAACCTAAGAATTAATGTTATATTACTTCCCCGGCATCACCATGGTCCATATATATCACATGCTTTTTCTAAGCTTATTGCTCATGCTTTCTTCTATTCACACTTAAGTTTGGATCTTGCCAATTATATTTCGAAATTACCATAAAATTACTTTATTATTCCTGTTTTAAATATGTCAGCTATATTAACTAGATGACCAATCTAAAACCTACAAGGGTCTTGAGCCTTCTAGACCCTTCCACAAAATCCTACTTCTTACACACATGTCCTAGAACCTTCTACATGGGTCTTGCTGTCACAGGGCCTTACTTAGAGGCTTAATTTTTCGCACCCTTAGCACCCTGTGCGG